CTGAGGCTCTTCCACAGTTAACTTATTTTTTTTATGAGTAGAAGGAGTATACTCTACTATAATGATAAAAAGTATAGTACAGTAAATCCTAGGGGAAAGGAATTTCTCAGCTCTACTATAACTTCACGGGAACACCGTCATATACGTGGTCTGTCACTGACAGAACGGTGTGGTGTGCCACGTGACTGTGTGTCACTGTTACGCTTTAGAAACCAGTGAAACCTTAGCAAAGCCCTCCCAATCTGGTCCTATCACTGCATGACACCCTTTTCCTTTGCTGGCCCCCACTGTGGGGGCTCTATCTGTTCACCCCTTCTCCAGGGGCTGGTTCAAATGACCTCCAAAACCTTCCTGGATAGCGCCAGGTGGAACTCACTGCTCTCTCTGTGCTGCGCAAACTTTATCTACGCTGCCAATGCAGCACTTCCCACTCCAGGGCATCCCAACACTCACCCGTATCTCCCTGGGACCAAGGGATCAGGGAGGACGAGGTTTGTATCCAGGGCACTTGGCCCAAGCCAGGTGTTCAATAAGGGTTGAAAAATTAAAGGAATAAATATCCACTATGTACATGAACAAGCACACACTGCACAGTACACGTAACACAAAGCTAACAGGGATACAAAGTGCAAGCGAAGGCCATCCCTGAAATCAGCTTAATTTCCAGGTGAGGAAATGTAACTTGTTTCCTAATAAGTTGAATAACCAGAAGCTTGGAGTTTACATAGCTTTCTTTCCCGCAGCTATGTGAATTCACCTGGCACGCTAGGTGAACAGCCTCGTCAATGCACAGGAAGAAAAGGAAATGAGACTTGTGTTACTTACCATCGGGCATGTGGCTGGTCAATACTTTATACACATTATCGCATTTAATTTGTTTATGAAGTTGATCACATTTTAGAGACGAGGAAACCAAGGCTCAGGGAAGTTAAGCCTCTTGCTGAAAATCACAGTTAGCAGGTAGCAGAGGCAGAACAAAGACCTGAGCCCAAATCCCAAGGCCTTGTTCAGTCACACAACTCAATCAAGCAGCTGGCCCAACTCTATTTACACTGCTAAGGGTTGCTTTTATTACAGTCACACATTCTGGGTGGAAAAGATTTTGCCTACCAAAAGTTACATTTTTAAGTAATAATTTTCCATGCTTATCAAAACCCTATCATCTCGGTTCTAATGGCAAAACTCTTACTCACCAATAAATAGCTATTATCAGAATAGATGTAATTCTAGCTCAAAGTACACAAAAAATATGTATGTGTGTGTTTATACATGCATTTTATGTTGGGCTTATTTAACCTTATGGTTAAAAAATAATTTTCACTAGACTTTGAGGACTAATAGAAAAGGAGACACTTCCACCTGCCCAGACAACTGGGGCCTGTGAATTGAGGTAGAGCCACAGCACCTCACTTTCTGAGCCTCACGTGTACCCATCTTTGTGATGAGAGTATTATCTCTAATTTTATTAACAGAAGGTGTCATACTAGACACAACTCTGTCAGCAGTAAAAAAACATACATATTCTAAGTAAAACTATAAAATGCCACAAGTATAAATAAGTGAGCCCAAAATGGCTCTAATGTGTCCCATTTTAGCTTAAAACATCACTTACATTTTAGATTTTGGTCCCTAAAGAATCTCCCAGGCCACCCTACACACAGGCTCAATCCCTGATGGATAAAACGATCATGAAATTGGCTCTCATGGTAGGACTGGAGCCGCCTCATTTTGACTTAAATGTCAAAAACCCTTTCTCTCCCTCCAGTACTTCAGCACAGAAACTGTTGGTTATACTTAGATGTCACACTTTTGCACACAGATGTTCAGCTTTACATTCGGCCGTTTAAAGTTTGGTTTCACACCCAGCCAAAATGGAACCATTTGTGATATCTGGTAGCCCCCGTGGCCTCCCAATTGCCAAAGCCGTGCATAGCACCCGGAACCTGTGTTCAGACCCCCAACGAATGCAGACTTTCCGCGACCTCCCCAGAATCACAAAGACGACCTCTGAACTTGGGCTAAAGTCACAAGGCACCCTGCAAGGAAGGAAGGGCCATGGGAACATGCTCAGGGCAGCGCCATATGAGTAACTGGTAGGCAAACATTCTCCATCTCAAGTTAGTTTGGGAAATGCAGGTTAACGCGCAGTTGTCTCTAGTTGTGGGATCCTCCGTGCTTCCCGCCTGCTCTTGGCCACCCGGAATGTCTTGGTGGCAGTGCATGTGGCAGGGGGACAGGGACAGACACGCAGTATCTAGCAAACTCACTAAACTACAAAAATCATTTTCGAGTGCACCTTTTAAGACAAATGTTCTTCAGAACACACGCATGGGGAAAGCTGCCCAAACCCTTTTTCTATTCCTGCCATTCGAAACCCAAACTTAGAAGCCAAGTGAGAAGGAACCAGGCCTGCTGACTGCCTGCCACGTGACAGGTACTTTACATATGTTCCTCCATCTGAACTTCCAGGCAGCTATTTCTGGCTCCATCACACAGGTGGGGTAAACGAAGCTTCAGGTCAGAAGTAGAGCTGGCATCTCGGCGCGGGGACACCTGATCCAACTGCCAGCCGCGCTTCCCCTCCGGCCCCTTCTTCCTTGAGAAACGTTTACATCAGCACTTAACAGTGATTCTGCAGTGACGTTTATTTTTTTAAAAGTGCCTCCCTCCAGTCTCACACTGCTTTCTAACTTCCCATGTCTGTCCCCCAGGGAAAGGGCAGGTGTGGCTCCTCTGGCCACAGCACCTGGGCTCCTCCCACAGCTTGGGGTGACCTGGAGCCTACACAGAAGAGAAGGCATGTGACAGAAGGGACCACGGCAGCTGGACACCTTCTCCCCTCCTCCGCCTGCCAGCACATAGGTGATTGCTTCTCTTCATGCTACAGTGAGCCGCAGACAGAAGCTGAACTACTTTCAACATTTTAGTTTTTAATAAACAGCTGTGGAAAAAAAATCACAAGTCTTTCACTGTCCGTTGGTACTCCCAGCGCCCCTGTTTGAGAAAACAATGCTAGCTAGCTTCTTCCTTTCACAGCCATTGACTTAAATCAAGCTTTTGGTCCAAATTAAATAGCTCATTTGTTTTTGCTAGAATTCTCTAGACACAGAAAACAAAAACAAAAACAACAAAAACGGAGGCCTTGGCAAAAAGGCCAGGAAGAACGGAGTATTTCAAGGGAAAGACACAAACCAGGACCCCTGGCAGCAGGCAGGTGACAGCGGACACAGCAAACACACCCAGGGGACTTCCGCCAGAGGGGGGTCTATCCAACCCACCCCCGCAGGCAAGAGGGGCGATTTGCACAGAGCTGGTATGTCATCCGCCTCTGCAGGCTGGGCCGTCCTAGCCCACCTGGAAATGGCAAGGAGCCCTGCTTGCTGTGTTCATTGGAGGGAGGTCCTTCCCCAGCTCAGAAAAACGTCAAAAGCAATTTCCCTTCCTCCAGGTTGAAGCTATTTTCCTGGGCCTTTAATGAGGCACTTTTCTTGGATGTCAACCACGGCATCGGGATCAATCCACTTCACTTCAATCCCTGAGCCTGTGTTGATTAGCTCTTCTGAGTCCTGCACTAAACTAGGGGCTTGGGGGATAGAGAATGAGCCAGAAATTCTTCTGTCCTTAGGAGAGTCGGAGCACCATGAGCCAGAAGCCAAAAGACGCAGACGGGAATGCTTGTAAAGCTCCGTCTCCCTATCTGTAAAACGGAGAAGAAAATACTCACTGTGCCCACAGCCCAGGACCATGTGGCACAAATGAAATGAAGGCTGCAAACACGGGCAAGAAGGAGCAAGGCGCCTAGTGCAGAGGGAAGAAAGACAGTGACAGATTCCAATCAGACGCGTGACCAGTTCACGGGCAGGCGTCCACATCGCCCACACGCAACAGCGGTTAGGTGCAGAAGCAACTTTTTTGCTTTTTATAATCGGAAGAAAGGTTTTCTTCTTTTCTGTACTTTTTAAAATGACAAATGTGGTATTTTATTTTTTAGCTTTATTAAGGTATAATTGACACATAAAAATGGACTATATTTAAGGTGTACAATGTGATGTTTTGATGTATGAATACATTATGAAATGATCACCACAATCAAGCTAATTAAATATCTGTCACCTCACATAGTTACCATTGTGTGTGTGTGTGTGTGTGTGCACATGCGTGTGTTGAGAACACTTCAGATCTATCCTTACATACAACACAGAATTCTTAACTCTAGTCTCCATGCTGTACGTTAGGTCTCTGGAACTTATTCGTCCTGCATAACTGAAACTCTGTCCCTTTCACCTACATCTCCCCAGTCTCCATAAGCCCTGGTAACTACCACCCTACTTCCTGCTTCTATAAATCCACTCTTCTTTTTTCCCATTCTCTGAATGGGAAGAAAAACCAAGTAAAATTCAATGAGATTAACTGAAAGTAAACCTTAAACACTCCTTTTTTCTTTTCTGATGGATACAATTTGGGGCTTGAGTTCAACTCAAACCTCAAACTTCTTGAGTTAGAAGACCCTATACTCATTAAGCCCCAAAAGAACATTTACTCTGCCTTAAAAAAATTCAAATGTGACTTTAAGACGTCTACATTCCAGCTTAGCACTAAACCAGTGAACGATGACACTAATAACTGAATGTTCTAGCTACACACAGTCACCAGGTTGGCACTGTTATAATCCCAGGCATGTGATTATTATATTAAATTTAAAACGAGGTGTGGAAAAGCTTTTGCTGTCTAGCAAGGGGAACATTTGCTACGATAAGTGTTCTTAAATTGTGTTACTAGCCTGTAAAATTCCGTCTGAGGGACTGCCTTTGCACACAAGTAACTGTAATGGAAATCTTCTGCCTTGGGAGTCTGCCCGGCTGGCAGAAAAATTATTCCAAGAACTGTGTAAAGGCCTCAAGAAGGAGACTCCATGAGGTTTGCTTGGTGTCTCTGAAAACGAAAGCAAAAACCTACTCCCACAATTATTTAGACATGCATTTTCAACCAGAAAGACCAACCAGAGTACAGAAGATGCACTGGCACTGGGCTATGGTCGTCATCTGCTCCAAGGGATACTCCCCGAGACACAGCTTGCAAGACACCAGCGGGTCAAGGGCCAGGTCCCAGGTGGGCCGGTACCTTGCTGTGGTCATCGCAGAGCAGTCTGAAATGAGAGAAGCACAGACAGTCAGATCTCCCCGCCTCGGCCTCCACCAGGCACATGGCAGGGGTCTTGTCTCTCGGCTGCAGCAGGGCCCAGGGTGGTGGCCAGGTGACTGCTGATGGGCCAGAGGTTTCACACGAACTCATTTGGGTCCTCTGAGAACTCTGGACCAGGGCTCCCTAGACTGGGTCTGTGTGTAGTCCATTTACCATTCTGATGGTAACTCGCATGCCTGCCCTCAAAACGGCAAAGGGCTTACCCACTCCCCCAGCCTCCCACCCCCAACCAAAACCCACATGCATTTAGTGAGACACCTGCCCACCAAGCACATAGCCCAGGACGGCAAAACTTAGCAACCACGGAACAGAAGCTTTTGTTACAATAGTGATAGCTTGGGTTTAACTGTTCTCCAGTGTTAGAGACACTCGGTGAACATGAGGACGAGCCTGGGTAGAAGAGTCAGAAGAGCTCGGTGGGAAGGAGGAGGCTTGAGTTTAGAGCGGATGTCACACATCACACAGGTGAAAAGGAGGCAGATATCTGAATGGGGGAAGAAATAGCCTAGCATCATTCCCCAGAAGACAGGGTGCAGGGGCCAGAGGGGACAGCAGAGCCAGCCGTGTGCTTTGAGGTCAGGCAGAACCACATTCCCAAACTCCCTCTGCCCGGAACAAGCTCAGTGACTTAACCACGACCAGCCTCCATTTGCTCATCTATATGATGGCTACATAATCCATCTCACGTGGCGCTGGAAGGATTAAGAGAGACCACACAAAGGGCCTGCCACACACAGCACGTGCTCAGTGAAAACCCGTTCTCCCCTTCCCTGCGGTGTCTCCTACAGCCGCGGTTTACGCCACTATGAGAAAGAGTCTGACCGCGCCACATGCTCTGTAGTTGGGTGTTGGATCTTACTGTCATTTGTGCCGGTGGCCCCTAAGGTCAAGGCGTTGCCCTGACTTTTATTTTACATTTACATTCCTTTCTCAAGTTTTGCACTCACAGCTCACTGTGTGTCACTGAGCAACGTCAGTTAGGACAAGCCACTTGCCGAATTCTCTGCGGGGCACCCCGGGAGGAAGCCTGCACCACCCTAGAAACCGAGCAAGCAGACAAGACGCACGCGAGGAATGTGAGAGGCAGACGCGTGGCAGACGGCAGTGGGGAGCCTGACGCCAGGGCCCAGGCGCGTGAGGGGCGACGGAGGTGGCCTGGAACCTGCGCTGGAAATCAGGGCAGGTGACCCACACCCAGGGCAGGCATCGGGCAACAGGACAGACAGGACACTTCCCAGGGCAGTTAACGCCTGTCAGTCACTCGGTCTAGAATAACTGTGTTTTCCACTATTACAAAAGGAGTCTGACACAAATTCAAGTGGACACAAATTTTTGGACTGGCTGGAGCTTTCAAGATAATTTCAACAAGCACCACAATTCTACCTAAAGCCATTGGGTCCAGACGGTTAGATTCAAGGTGTCACCCAGCTCTCTGGGAGTGCTGCGCTTCTCATCTCCCAAGGTCATTTTCATTGGAGCATTTCTCTACAACTTGAATTTATTACTATTATTTTAAACGTCCACGTGGGATCCTGAGCTTATGGGTCACGATGTGTTTGTGTTTCTCTGCGTCGTGCTCCTGCTTTAATCCTTAACCATTTCTTTTTCAAGTAGCATCTCTCAAAGTTCACTGTAAAAGGGATAACTATGTTTGATTAAACAGGGTAGCCAGCCCTAAAAGGGACTACAAAATTTAACCAGAAGCATTGAGGCTTGGACCGGGAGCTTCAGAAATCACACAAGGCTGGAAATGTCTCAAGGGGGCCATGTGGCTGCTAACTGGCTTCTCTGGCCTGGAGGTTTGGGGACAGGTTGTCGTTGATCATGGAGCAAAAGCACAGGGTTGAGGTTCTTCAGGGCGTTATAGGAGGAGTTTTAGAGCAGAGCTCATACTTTGGAACCAGGCAGAACTGGGCTCAAATTCTTTTTCTGCCACGTGGTTAGGTGATTATGGAGGAATTACTTAAATTTTATGAACTTTAGTTTTTTTTCCCTCTGTAAAACCTGTATACTGTCACCCCCATGTAGACTTGTGAAGAGTGAGAGGTAATATATTTAAAGTCCCCGGAAGATACTACAAGGTTGGTCAGCGGAAGTCATTATTATATGTCAGATTAATGAGCTTGGACATTAGCCTACATAGACTAAAGGGAGAAGAAAATGTATTGAGCAGATAAATAATATGATAAAATTAGTTTTTTAGGAAGTGCAATCCAATGGCTAACATCTTTGGAAGAAGCAAACACTAGAACCTCCTAAAGCCTCCTGCTCTATCATTAGCTATGCAATATGGCCCAAGACTGGACACCACTCCAGAATGGCAGGATGCTACAGCTTAACCAACCGGTGCCACAGAAGGTTCCTGAACCCCCGACCCAACTCCCACCCTGCCATACATCCTGGCCAGGGCAACATCTTGCAAACAGTTTCCTGCCCCATAAACCACTTACGGCCTCCATCCCACCCCAGACCACTGCCCTAAGCCTTCTTGCTTGTTCCCAAGACCATTCTCTCTTCTCAGCTTCCCAGCTGGGCTCCTTTTCCTGTTTACAGCCTAATGCAGCCCTCGGCACAGCCTAGAGGGGCGGACATGCCTGGCTTCCTTTCTTCCTGGACCATGATTTCTCTTTGCCCCCAGTGGCTTCCCCCTGCCCTGGGCACAGGTCAGCCCGAGGCCCTCAGCCCCCACTTCCCTCACCCCGTGAGCTGGACTTAAGCAGGTCAAATTCCCGTCTCCAGGCACCACATCGGTATTCTTCCTCCTCCAGGGCACATAATCTCTGAGCTGTGCTCAAAATCACGGTTCAAATGGTGACAATAACAGGATATATTTAAAAAAAAAAGAACTATATTGTCTAAATCCATCATGGCTATTCCCTGCACACAGGATGGCCTAATATGATTTTCAAACACTGAACAGCTGCAAACTTGCAATCGGAATCTGCTAAGAGAATCACAATGCACAATAAGAGAAAAAACAGTCTTTGTTTTCCTGAAGTGAATGTCAAGTCACATGAAACAGCAAACTGTTTTAAGAACATCTGGTCAATTATAAATATTATTCAATTTAAGCAATTCAAAATGTTTATAAGCCAAGTTACTTATTAAGCAAGATTGAGGTTGTGCTAAAGGTTGCGCACTGTGATGGGGGGTGTGGATAAGGATGAGAAAGGCTGGAAGAGACAGCAGTCCATGAGGAAGACAGTCAGCACGTCCACAGAAAGTCAGATGAACCATCCCATCCCTGGCTCTAGGGCTGTGGCCTCCATGGGTCCCTCTTCCTCCTACCCTTACTCCTTCAGAGCACACCCAGGGAAGGGACGGCAGTTGCCAGCCAGCCATCACCCACCTCTTACTCTCCGACTCCCCCGGCAAGGCCCTGCTCTCCTGTGGTTGGCTGGGTCACACTGAGTTTCTTCCCTGTCCTAAGCACCTTCCTCTCCCCGATGACTTCTCACAGCAAAACATGTTTTTAAGAAAAGGGCAGCTACTGTATGCTTTCAATAGAGGATATTCTGGAGAAAACAAAATCATAGTCACTAAACAGATCGGTGGTTCCTAGGGGTCTGGGGTGGGGCTAAGAGTAGAGGAGGCTTGAACAGGTGCAGTGCAGCGGACTTCCAGGGCAATGAAACTATGCGGTATGATGCTGTAATCACAGATTTATCAAAGCCCATAAAACAAAACTTTACAGCACAAACAGCAAACCATAATGCATGCAAATTAAAAAAAAATCACAGAGGAGGTCGGGGCATCGCAGGATGTAATGCAGACTGTGACAACAGGAGGGGTGGGGGAAAAGGTGCTGTCCACAGTGAGTTTGGAAATGAGTAGAACCTGTAAGAATAAAGGCAACGGAATAGAGCTGGAGACATCAGTGTGACCTCGGGTCCAGCTTAATGAAGATACAGACGGCTACATAGAGAAATGTTTATAGATCTACGTACACACCTGGATAGTATGCATAGTATATTTTCCTTGTTCCATCAGCTCAGAGGGCACAGAAGCAATGATAACCTGGTTTGCAACAAGCACATCTAGTGCCCGGATCTTGGTTTCTAACACAATGTTCCAATTAGGGAAATGAAGGTTCACTGGACAAACGGCTGCTGGTTCCAGGACTAGAGCAGGATATTCAAGATGAGCTTGGAACACCTTGTAGAGCCACACAGCAAGGAAGTGCTCACAACTAACAAAAACAACCACACTGACGGGCATGTCCAGGCAATCTGGGAGCCCACTGAAAGAGCTCCTGATGGCTAAGCCTGAAAAAATCTGAACAACAAAGCAGTATGACTTATAACCCAGAATATAAAATAAACACTGATAAAAATAAATGAGGGGAGAAAGACACATCTGTCATGCAGGAAAATTCCACATGCTACAATTTTGTATGTACTCCACCCTCGAGCAGGTGCACCCTCACTCCCCACTCTCTGGGGTGGGCTGCACAGAGTGGCCTCCTTCCAAAGAGGACAGGTGGGACGGGGACAAAGGGAAGAGCTCTACAGTGGAGACACCTGAGGAGTGCTACCTCAGTCAGGTGGTCACAGTCAACATGAGGAGTGACCACTCACACTGATGCCCTAGCCAGGAGGCGATGAGAGAGACACTTCACCTCTGCCGTCTTCCTCCCCAAAGCCATAACCCCAGTCTACCTACGACAGAAACATCAAATAAACCCCAGTTCAGGAATATTCTACAAAACACCTGCCCAAACTCCTCAAAACTGTCTTCAAAAACAATGGACGTCTGAGAAACTATCACAGTCCAAAGGAACCTAAGGAGACAAGACCCCTAAAATGTAATGTGGGATCCTGGAACAGAAAAAGGACCTTGGGTACCAACTAAGGACAGTGGGATAAAGTGTGCACTTCAGTGAGTAAGAATATAACAGCGTTAGTCCGTTAACTGTGACAGACACACCACACTAACGCAA